CAGTTGACGACACCCATTGACGACACCCGTCTATTGTTTTGAACTTGAGCTAGCCAATCGGAGCGCAGTTGTAACAGTAATGATATGGCAGAATGGTTTTCAAACAAATTATTTGACATTTCGTCTCTATTTCTGGATATACACTCGTTGAGTAAATATAAGAGATGTCAAAAAACTACGTATATCCAAAGTACGTTACCAAATAAGTAAAAGGAGATCAATATTTAAAAATAAAACTAGAAATATCCAAAATTGTAACATTAAACGCTCCCATACCTTTGATATGAAATTCGTAGAGAGGCCCCAGTTTCGAACAACTGCTTTGGTACAAATTTTTGAACGTTACTTTCAAATGTACATCATCACTACGTTTTTATTCAATTACAAAGATAGTTTTACTTCATTTATAACAGTTTCGTTGTCTGTAAACTTATTGTTACCTCTTTAAATGCGTTTGCGATTACGGTCGTTTAATGTTAAAATTTTTGACATTTCTAGTTGCATTTAACAAACTTATTGATACCGTTTTACTTCTTATGTAATATATTTCGATATCAGTTTAAAGGTTTTTGATATTTCTTATATGCACGGAATAATCGCCTGGGCACACTTAACGATTACACCCTGGATGACTCAATCATGATAGGAGGTATGTCCGAATGTCCGTTTATAAAATATATTACACACACTCATTGTGGTCAAGGTGCATAAAAAACTATCAAATGCATTGACTTACAAATAAATGGACAACGGGTCTAATACAAAAACCACGAAAAAAATGTCCCAAGTCAACTTATTTAAACGTAGTGACATGTAAAGGAATATGAAAAAGCTAAAACGTTGAATTTAAATTGTAATATCATCGCAGTACTGTCTAATTTTGCTTGCTTCGCTGTCAGTCGAACAAACGAAGACTAAAGCGTGAATAACGCTCTATATACGATTTTAACGCCCTATAAGTTCGGACACTTTACTACTTTAGCGCGGACCCGACGTCCATATAATTGTAAGTCAATGATCAAATGCTAAAAAATAGGGTTTTGTTTTCATTAGAATGTCCTGCGTTATGAAAATAGCACATGAACAATATTTATTTAGCAAAACGCTGTTATTCAAGCCGTTCAACAACTTGTTTTCTTAGATTGCCAAGCGCCATAGACAACTTATTGATATATACTACTTGAATGACAGTTAACGTTTTACTAGCAAAAGCTTTAGTCGCGTTATTTCTGCCTTTTTCCTTGAGTCTAAGCACCCCTAGTCATTGAACATGTTACCTATCACTTTGAATGTTATTTATTTTAAATACCCTATGATTAGTTTTAACATTAACGTATTATTATACATTGTAAAGTTACCGATTTTGTGATGTTCTAACCAACAGTCAATAGGTGTATTTATTTTCATTAAAATATTAATTCGTAAATTAATTTTTTAGAACTTTTTAATTAAGTAATGCATGTGTCGATATAATGAAATCATTTAGTAGTAGAAGTACATTGTATAGATGTTATTGTATTTGGAAATGAATAAAAGAATGAAATGCGTTTTATTCATTTTAAATTGATATTCTGCGTTCCAGCGTTCGTGTAGTTGATTATATTTTGACGACCTCTATCGTCGAGTGGCTTGAACACCGGTTTTCATGCAGTCGATTCCCGGCCGCGTTATTGTAACTACCTTCACTATATTGTATCGCGTCTGGGTGTTTGTGGTGCCGTCGTTGTTCCCGATTTTCATAACAAAATGCTTTAGTTCCTTACTTTGGGATCAGAGCCACCTACGTGACATTGTCTTACACACATTATAATTAATAATAAATGTCGCACCCCTCATGGTACAATGGCATAAGTGAAGATACGTCAAAAATGTTTATTGTTCCATTGGTTACAGAAAAAATAACCCACATCCTCTCCAATTCTTTTAACTTTATCGTCGAATATAGCCAGGATGGCCATTGTATGGGAATTTAAAAAACAACTATTTACACAAACAATGCATTAACCATGACTTTACAGTCACAGATTGTCGTTAGCTATTTTTTTATGATAAATTTATTTGAAATACAAATACGTATTTTGTATTTTAATTAATTACAATGTCTAAATTTATTCTGTATTTTCTACTTTCCCGTTCCTTTAAACAGGACCATCGAAAATATTATTTATTTTGTAGACACAAACTATAGCCGGTACGTTCATACATAAAAAATATAAGAAAGTTTGTAAATAGAAAATTTCTTTAAGGGCCACACCTTGGGGCATCGCGTCCAGAATGCTGGCAACATTCCCCTTTGAATATCTAAACTTATTCTTTGGCGAAAATAACTACCAGCTTAATGTAATATATTTTGTAAATTTTTCTGTTCATTGTAGTCTTAAAATAATCCGATTTTACTTTATCTTCCTAGATTTATCTTAGTAAATTGACAATACACATACAAGTAAACGATCTGGTAATTGGCGTTTAAGTTTTTCCAGGACTCTTAGCGCCATCTAGCGAACGGCGGTTGAAGGTTCACGACACGAAAGGTGAGTTCACTCGTGCCGGGCGCAGCATTCTACTCTGCACTGGTTTTTTCATCAGACACATAAAAACAATGTTGACAAACAATAGTAAGAGTTCTTGCAAAAAATTATCTTTATTCGTTTCACGACATGTCCTAATTGGCCTGAACTTATGTTTAAAAAATTCTAATCCCACCATTTGACTTACAATTATAAAGTCAATGAATCCCACCCATTAATTCGAAATACAAGCTGGCCCGTTTACAGTGGTCCAAAAAAAAATTTTTATTTTGATAGAGGACATTGTAACAACCCATTTAAAATAAACATTATTGCCGTGAAATTCAATAGTTTAGAAGATATGATCTTTTATGTATTTTTTGAAAATTTTGTACTCTAGTCACTAACACTACTCTAGTTTGAAAACTATACCACTAAATTATGGCTAAATTAATTGAAATTTGGTATGGAAGTAGTATAAACATGTAGCTAGCATGCAATGAGCCATTTTTGGTTTTGTTCTTAGATTGCACCGTTATTTAGACCCAAGACACAGGGGTACCCTAGCTTAGGCTCCCGTCTCTCACGATTTAAATTTTGTTAACTGTGAATTAAGTTTGTATCTATTTTCTGTGAAAGAAAATAAATTATTATTATTATTATTTAGGAGATTTTTTATTTGTTCACGAATAAAATGTTAAATTTTCGAAAAATTCCTGACTGAAAAATTTACAATCAGAATTTGCTAATGGCCTTAAAACCTACCTTAAGATGTAGGGATTGTTTACAAATAAAATTATGGTTTTGCAACTATAGTAACATCTTCATAAATTGACATGACGTGCAGCGTGCACGGAGTCAACAAAAACCATAATCGTTATTCCAACAATTTTAACTTAATTTCTCAAAAGAAAACATTAGAGCAACTCAGATTTACCTTAATTATTATCAAAGCAATCTACTTATTATCATACTGTTTATAATATATATATTATACAACAATGAAACTAAGTTCTTTGTATCAGTAGGGCTAAAATTTCAGCTGTTTTGAACATTTTCTTTTTGTGTACATTATGGCTACTAGAGATTGGTTTGAAATAATTAATAATTACTTCGAGTTGTACCGTTTTCTTTTGAGAAATTAAGTAAAAATTTTCTGAATAACGGTTATAATACAAATTGTCAGTTTTTAGTGACTCAGTGCACGTCACTCAATTTATGAAGATGTTACAATAATTGCAAAACTGCAGTTTTATGTATTTATTATTTATAATTTTTTTTTAAATATTTGACTTACAAATAACATGGTTAAAGAATATAGTAGTACCTCTAAAAATAAAATATAAATATGGAGATGATTATGAAAAATTATTTCAATTTTTATTTTTATTTTATTTTTTACGATTATTGTAAAGTGCTTAATGTCTATGAGAAGGGTAAATTAGCTATAGTAACTGAAAACCAAGAAAAAATATCACATATAGAAAGAAAAAAGAGGGCACCATGTCTACGTATATTGCCTAAAGAGAGTACATTTGAATTATCGAAATATAACGATGTGTATGGGAAAAGAATCTTTGTATACTTTCTACCCGAGGTACTGAATGGAGTACGTACCTACCGACTAATATTGTGGAAAAGATGACAAATGGAAGTAAATAGCAAGCCAAAAGAAATGTAAAACGTTATCTTATTCTAGATCAACACAGAACTGATTTATAGTAATTGATTTATAGTAAGTATGTAAAAACACATTGTAATGCATGTAGGTTAAGGTGGGAAGCTAATTAAAGTGCTAAAATCTTATTGTAAAGATTATAACTTTCGAATAGTTAACAGGGAGCAGAGGAAAAATTTCTAATCTTCGATTTGATTTTAGAGTATATCCACTTTAAACTTAAAAATAAAATATTGTATGAGTAAGTACACGGTATATTCCAGCATAGACACTAACCAGAAACATAAAGTAATAAAGTTTCCTCGATAGATAAAAATCACGAAATGACTTCTAATTTTCACATTTTTTCGATTCATCCTCGAAATGCTACAGGTTATTAGGACAAAAATTAGATAATTAATTATATTTATGCATGATCGAGAACTGTCACTACGGATTTTTTTTAATCCCTTTAGTTTTAGAGTTATTCCGCTAAAACGAATTTGGTACTTTTAATGCGCAAAATTCAACATCTCCTGTCGCATGTCACGCGAACTTCAGGCATATATTTGTTTCACAAATTTGGGCGGAGCCAACGTCAAAACTTTTTTGGCATGCTCCCTCTTAACAAAACAATTGTACTTTTACATAGAAATAAACAGTTTTAAATTTTTGAGTCACTGTAAATGGGCCACCTTCTCTTGATTAATCCAAAGAGTCTGTCATTCGATATTTTGTAAAACTTTTTTGCACTTTAAAACTGGCTGATAATATTATCAATTTGATACTTGACGACATAAAAAACAAATATCTACCAAACAAATTCGCTACAAGTCACGACTTTCGACTCTCTGTTGGAGGTTTATTTTAGGTTGGAAAATGGCAACCTTGCGTACCTTTATATCCGGCGCCGTACGTGGACGATCCGTGCTTTCCAAATTCCAGACTCCCACGCGTATTCAAAGAGTACATAGCCATGACGAGGGCCCACCTCAGCCATACGAAAACCTGCCTTTTACCATAAGCAACAGGTGAAACTTCATCGCATTCTTTTTAGGTTTCGACCTTAGAATAATAACGCATAGAAACCTAGTCCGCACACGCTAAGTGAGGCAAATTGAAGCGCTCCCAAAGGGCCTACACGAGCGGGCGGGCCGTCAGTGCTCAAGGTCAAAAAGTTTTAGCTAAAAATGACGAAATGTGCGGTAAATGAGTGTAAAAATACGTCAGACAAACATAAAATAGATACTAACATCACATTCCACAAGGAAGTAACGCATTTCAACTTGTATTTTTATATAAATATTCACTAAAACCGAAAATTAACCTACTACTAAAATTAGCCTACACGAATTTGATTTTTGCCTCACTTGTGACAGTTCGTTTGATATGAAACTATCATACTATGCGTTATTATTCTAAGGTTTCGACTTTCTCCATCAACTTACCTACTTCTACCTCCAAGTCGTCGTGTTCGTCCTGTCACTTGATACCATAAAAAAAATTATAGGTATCTTATTTAGAACCTAGGCCTCCCAGTGAGGGAGTTTTGATGATCGGGACTGTTTTCAGACCAGTTGGCAATCGCGGCAGATCTTTAGTCTGCACGCGACACTCTCTGGTGGTTCTTAAAATCCCCTTGTCCCACAGTACTACTATATTATGTCTGTAACTAAGACGAAAACTACTACGTACGTACTGTACATGCAACCGGGGCGGGTCACCCGAGGCATTAGCCTCTCGAGAGCCGAATGAAGTCAAGTGACAGAGGTCTGCAACAACCCTGTACACTGGCTGATCTGGGGTCAGAAAATGAACTTATAGGGTTCCTATGCACGCACCGGTTATAGGGCCCGTCTCGTATACCCTAAGGGGTTTCGACGAAGAAAATAATGTAGAAAGATATGGGACTGTAAGTAAAACGAAACACCAAAATTTAATGTGCTGCAACTAGCTGCCCATCTCCAGAATTTACTCTTTACGCATTTTTGTAATTCTGCAAACCTATAGGTATCTGGTTTTTACAAAATAGTATAAAAATCCATTTCCAGTACAATAAACTTTACTTAACTAAAGTTAATTTCATATAATCACGTTAATGCCATAGTAGAAGTCAAGTTTCATTAACCCCTTGTATTCCTTCGTTCCCACTAGTTCTATTGAGTAGTCTATTATAGAATTATTGGGACTAAAATGTCCCAGTAGTACTATTAAATTATATTAGAACTAGTGGGAAAAATCATTTCAAATAGTTATATTGGCTTACTACTATTTTTATTCCGAAAATAATAAATATCTAGTAGATAACTCCTTTTCAAATGTCTCTCAAACTCACTTCTAAAACTCAAGTGTTTGGAGTAAATTCGACTTTTGTAAGGGAATTCGAGGTCTGAGTTCAGCAGTGAGCGTCTTTAGAAGAAATATTTAGTTGGTACAAGCTATATTTTCTTACTATTTCTTACTATACATTCACATATTAATTACAGATATACAACAACTTTAAAGTGGTGCCTCTTCTTTGGATCAGGACTGTGGGCACCATTCATTATAGTCTGGTACTCTATGGCAAAGAGGACAATGTAATTACAAAATGATTATATAATGTTGCTGAATTATAATTGACTTTCTTTTTCATTGCCTATAGCAGGAGTATTTTACATCAGGAGGGCTACCACCAAATACGTAACAACGAAGCTCATGTGACAGCTATCGTATCGAGTTTTGACATTACTTTCATAGTAAAACTGACATGACATGTGTAGCACGTATGAGCTTCGTTGTCACGTATGAGTATTTCCTGGTAGACCTATTGTAATGTACTTATTAAAACGACACATGCGCAGAATGGACTTGTACCTATACAGCCAGTTACTCATACTCCTACTGGGTACTCCCACTGGTAGGAGTACGTGGACTTTATATAAGTACCTATATGTTTACTTATGTATCTACTACTTCACTATGTGTAAGCTGGTACCTCTTTAATGTGAGCTTGAAAAAACGGTTACCAGAAATAAATATAAGACTAATCTATGACTAGTATATTTTGTAATTAAAAAATGGTCTAGAAATGATATTTTAAGCTTTAATAGCCTGACAGAAAAAGGTGATTTCGATTGTACATTTCTTATGAAATAACTCCACTAGTTTTTATTATATAACTATTAAAAACTTGACAAAAACACACAGGAGAATTTCGACAACACGATAACTTGACCTTAACTCTGTTGGTAAGGACAATACTAAGGTGCAGAATGGCCGTGGGTTCAGTCCCATCGGGTCGAAAAAGTTTTTCTATGTACCTAGTCGATCTTTGTATGGCACCCGCGACACAGGGTTTCCCTAGTGCGGGGCTATGTTGAGTGTGTGTGTTAATAACATAAATATTTACTTCAACTTAGTCCTACACTGGTAGAACCAAGCACAAAAAAGAATAGCCTTGGTACTACCAGTAGAACTACGGTTAATATTACTTACCCTTAGACCTGCTCGTAGAACCACGGACAAAAAAGAATACCCTTGGCACTACCAATAGAACTACACAGTAGGAACATGCGACACATATAAACATGACAATATGTAGGAAACAGTTCAAAATTCTTATTTTAGTAATGTTTGTAAACATCTTCGTAGTAACTTTCATCATCGATATTGTTTACACATGCTAGGTTTTATACCATAGGTGTGCATTAACGTTTTGGGCTTTAATATGTGCTCATTCCATCCGTACGAGGTTCAAACAGTCGCTACAAGTCCATTTTTTTTAATGTTTGTAACAGCATTATACCCTTTTTTTACATATAATTAATAAAGTGTCGAAAACAAAACAATGCCTTAACCCCAATGTCTAATGAAAACATTTGTTTGTGCTATTCAGTAAGTGGAATATATAAGACGCACTATAAGTTTCCGGAACTGGCCAATTACATAAACAATATTTAAAAAGTAATTAAATCATTTGAAAATGGAACTCTTTGGCTGTAGAATACAGTTTGTTTCATCTGAATGTCACTTGTTTTTACATTGTGGCGTCATTTTAGAAATTGGTTGACTACATCACCATGGATTTAACTCGTGAAAATTTTCGTAGTATGATTTTCTACGACTTTAAGTGTAATTTAACAGCTCAGCGGAGCTTCGCTCGGCTTCAAACTGCTTTTGGCGATGAAGCACCATGCGAGAAGACTATTTATAGCAGGTTTGCAGAATTTAAACGCGGTCGTGTGAATCTTAGTGACGAATTTCGTGATGGTCGCCCGTCCATTGCAGTGAACATCAAAAACATCGATGCTGTGCGCCGTATGATCAAAACAGACAGGCATGTGACATACCATGAAATTCGGGCATATTTCGGCATAGGCATGAGTCAAATACAATCAATACTACACAAACGATATGGTATGAAAAAGCTGTGCACTCGGTGGATCTCACACAATTTGACTGAGGCTCAAAAAACGGATCGCGTCACTTCATGCAGTGTTATGCTTACCAGATTCAACGAAGGCAGCAATCGAGCGTACGGGTCTTTCGAGTTGAGTCGAAACCAACCAAAGTGGTGCGCGTGCAAAGTGCCCCTAAGCGGATGATTGCTTCTTTTTTTAATAAAACTGGACACGTGGCTACTGTTGCTTTGGAGAATCGTTGTACCGTGAAGTGATTAGAAAACGACCATTTGTTTGCCGAAAGTTATTGACAAACTCCGTAAAAATAGTCATAAACGCCGTATCATCTTGCACCACGATAATGCCAGTTCTCAAGGCCAGACAGATAAATGAATTTTTGAAGGTGAACAACGTTGACCGTCTGAGCCATCCCGCGTACAGTCCCGACCTGGCACCTTGTGACTTTTATTTATTTCCAAAAATTAAGAACCAGTTACGCGGTCAACGATTTTCATCACCTGAAGAGACTGTCGAAGAGTATGACAAATATGTTTCAGAGATTGCCTCAGGAGTGGCATAAATGTTTTCAAAATTGTTTCATTCGTATGAAAAAATGAATTAACGCTAACGGAGAATATTTTGAGAAACAACGAATTCATTTCTGACCATTTATAGTATTTTTTTCTTATTCATTCCGGAAACTTATAGTGCGCCTCGCGTATTAAGAATATTGCTGAAGCCAATTTGAAAAAGAGTACTGGGAACGTGAAGTCATGAGAATCATACTGATTGACATTAATAACAGCAGCCATTAATTCGACGGCCCCACCGAATAAACGTGTTAAGGCTTTTAAGGCGCGTTCCATTATGCCGTGACGACAGATAGTCGTGACGTTTGTAGTGTGCTTTTATACTTAAATGAAGTTATTTACACATAGAACAAAACAATGAACTGTCGTGCACGACTTTTTTTACGTAACAACGACAGACGTCGTGACAATGGGAAGAGCTAGAGCGACTGTCGTCAGACGATAAATAAAACGTCTAGATAAAAATATTACTGCGGATAATCGCAGCTTCACACGATTCTGTGGCGGCAGCCGTGAACCAATAAATTGTCGACACGATCTAGTTGGAACAGCTAGACACAACAGTCGTGTAACGAGAAAATAAACGTCCACGACACAATCACGACAGATAGTCGAGATATGGGAACAGGCTAGACGCGACAGTCGTCCACCGATAAATAAAACGTTACGACATAATGGAAACGCGCTCTAACATCTTAGCTCTAACGCATTTTTACACTTTAAAAATTTATGACCAATTTCTAGAATAAGCATGTAACTATACCTAATATTGGCACTGGCAAATCTTAATATCCATATTAAAACAGAGTACCTAATATTATGTTATATTTTAAAGTATAATATATGTGTATATATATATATATATATCTTTTCCCGCGAATAATAGTATAAACACTACAAACGAACAGCAGCCAAAGTAATTGTTACTAGAATAATAATTTTAAATGGTTTTTTTATTCATTTCTGATAAACTATCAATGTTTTCGTATTTCAGTTTTAATATAAGATACAATGTTTTTTATCTATAATTTGGGTCATTATTATTATTGCACGCAGTGTTGCCAGACTTTTGCGAAGTTAATTCGCCAATTGATGTGTGTTAAGTATATTCGCCCAAGCCATAAAATCCCTAAAAAATCAAGGAAAACAATTCTACAATTCTGCTTGCTGTCGGAAATTGGGGAATATGAACTCTCTTATTTCCCCAATTCCCCATACATAGAAATACTCAATCCCCCAAATTAATTGTTTTAAAACTCCATTCCCCAATCAAGTTTGTAATTTGCCAGACATTTTATTAAGTAGCCTAAAATCGCCTTTTCCTATTTCAAACATGGCCTAAATATCGCCGAGTCGCCGATCACTTTTTTAGTCGCCACACGACCCCTCGCAGTAGCCTAGATGGTGAAAAATCACCAATCTAGCACCACTGGTCCCATGTATAATTATTTTGACCTTTGGCTTGGTGTGAGTCAAACGGCCCATTCACTACCTGCATAGCAGTCCTCCGCGCAGGCAGAAGACTGCTCACACACTATCCTGCGTATGGCCCACGTATGGAATCTCGTTGCAGGATAGCTTACACGCTGCGTCTACAGTCGTAATCCTGCATTACACGGCAGACGGTAATGCGGCCTGCAATGCAGGATAATGAATGGGCATTCTGCCCTTCACAAATACTTTTTACATTACAGTTTTACGTTGCATTTTAAATTTTTACATTATATCTCTTAACTCAGCATCCCTGTTGGCAGATCCCCTCCTCCAGATCTTTGCAGTGCTCTATCAAGAGTTATTCTTCTTCAACATGGGCCTGTAGTAAGGTTCAGCTCATCCTCACATCTTTGATTCTGACGCCCTCTATTACGTTTTCCATCATGTGGATACCAATTGGTGACGACTGCTCCATTTTTCCGGCCCACGCAACAGATACCCAATCCATCTCCTTTGAATGCACATCAATTACCGTGGTTCGTCTCCTAATACTGTCACTCCTGACTTTGAATTTTCCTCAGCCCAAGCATGCTGCACTCCATTGCTCATGGATCCGCCTGTACCGTGCTTGTGTATACTTTATATAATGACCATGTTTCGCGCCCATAATTCAGACGTGGAAGAATGCATATGTTGAGTCTTTTTTTTCAGTCATGGGTAAATCTTTGCTTCTCATTATATCCTTTAGAGTTCAGTATATCTTCACGCCACTTGGCAGTCTGTTCTCAATTTCTTTACACATGTGATCGCTAGGAGAGATGATACAGCCAAGGTAAGTATATTGCACCACAGTTTCTAGGGGTGTCCCAAGTATGCTTATTTTGATCTTTGACTTGGTGTTAGTCATTACTTCAGTGTTACTAATATTCATCAACAAACCAATCCTTTGCTTAGAAAGTGTAGCATCAATTCTAACTTTTCGGGTGATCGAAGAGCACCAAATCGTCAGCAGATCGCAGGTGGTTCAGTTTTGTTCCATCTATTTTCACGCCACACTCCTCCCTGCAACTTACTAAAGATATTTTGCCAGCACTGCTGGGAACAGTATAAATACAATTTATGAACCGAATTTGGGATATCCAATAAACAAACATTGTATTTAGGATATCCAATCACCAATGAGTAATATTATTTTTTAAGTTTTTAAACCCTCCTATGAAGGTGCAATTTTTCCTTTATGTTTATTTGGTGGGGGTTGTAGAATTGTAGATAAATGGCGATGAATTGACTTTACGGGGTAAACCCATGTAATTGTTTGTTTGAATTCTTTACAGGATCTCTCTAGATCTAATAGTTCTGTTGTTTGCTCTATAAGGGAGTTACAACACTTATGGATGCCGAATCAACATGTGCAGGTTAGAAAAAGCCTTTTGCTAAATATTTTGAAATACTTTTGAAAAAACAAAATGGTTTTTAAATACTAAAGCTTATTTAAAAAGACATTGATGGCCGGCCTTGTGCATTTCCATGTCAATAAGTGTGACAACTCTCTAAATGGAACTACATAACATTACATAGCAACCCAAAAAATATAATGCAATCTAACCCAAAGGTATGACTTCAATATTCAAAGAACGAATTATGTTAAATATACTATTTATTACAGCAAAAGGTATCTACATGATTATATCAATCTTCATGGCCATGATGGTGGATCGCCTTGCACTACCCTTCCTCCATATAAAGCAGATTTGTCTCTCCAGGATATCATGCGCTCAGTTTCCATGTCATCAAGAAACTTGCCAATGAAGAATCCTGTCATTGGAACAGCGAACCATACGTAGCGGGCTGTGATGCCAAAGATGGCCATGTCAGTTATCTGTCTTCTGGGACTTCCACTTGCGAGTATGGTTCCAGTCTAAATAGATGAATGTCACAGTCAGGACCGGGAAACTTATGCTCACCAGGTTCCGACTTAGGAACTGCTTAATCCCCATAAACCTGGAAATATATTTGAGATACATTATTTAATTGGAACCATTATTTTGTAGTGTAATTTACAAGAATTAACCTAAATAAGTACTTAAAAAGTAGCAACTTGCAACAATTTGTTAATTTCTAGGAGACATTATATTTTAAAATGGCACAATGTGGTTTTGTCATCATGCAAAGCTTTTTGCATGAATTTGGTACATTACCATGGGCAAGCTCTATCTTAATGTAATCATTTTCACATATATAAATACAATATATACACGTATATTAGACTCTTGAAAGTTTTTTACAAGAATGATTTGGCTTAAATAAGTTTATGAGCTCACTTGTAATTCTCACTTCTAATTTAGTACATTGAAAATTATGTAATACAAACACAATTGTATTAATAGAACCGCTACGATTCTATGAAACATAAGCAATACACAACTACGTCGTCAATCAATTACATAAACGTTAAGAACTAGGTGCTGAATACTGTACAATGATAAAAATCAATGAATTTCAGGGGAGACAGAAATAGGACACACATAACCTAACTTTTGTTGCGACAATTGCACATAATTTATAAAATGGAGAAATTTGAATTAATGAAAACTATAAAATTGTGCTCATGAATAACTAAGGAAAATAGAAAAATACTAACCTAAAACCAAAGAAAACTGCGAAGACCTGCAGTTTTCTATTTTGAGTGACAATCAGGTTGACCACAACGAACTACAATGGTCATAAGCAAAATCTATTTTTTTTTTGTGCGGTATACCTGATCTGGTTATACCATACACATATTGTTACAAATCACATGATATAATTATAATGCTGAATCATTGACGAACTTGTTAAGCGTCGCAGTGCCGGTTATGTTAACCACAATGTTTTCCGAGAATTTAGTGAATTTAAAACAGGACGTAATATATTTTTTAGTTACTAAATTGATATTTGTGATCATCGTTAAACATTAGGAAAAGTAAATGACGAAGACTGTCATTGAGTATTTTATACGCCTTTCAGTGTGCATTTTATAAAATACGGTACCTTATACGTATTTTTATTTTCCAGGCTATTAACATATTTCTAAGTCTATTTTAATTTATTACTTACTTTAAAAATTAGCAATGAAGATTGACTGCATAGACAAGCTATAATATGCTGAATTTTATTTCCGTATCCACATTAGTCCTACTATGAAAGCAAAAAACAGCTACTATTTGTATTTTTTCAATCCTTTAAAGAATTTGTTCCGATAATAATAAAAAAAATCAACAACAATACAAATACCCTAAAATGAATAATGGATATTTTAGAGACACGAACTTAAACATTTTCTTTTTCAGTCTGATTCTCTGATCAAGATGTTCCAACATCCGAGTGAGAAGTCTGATGATGCTCATCATAGGTACCCAGCGGCGGAGCTAGTTATTCTGGAGAATGAAGGAATGGTTGTGCCCATAACAAATGACCTAATTATGCTAGGAGACAGACGCGAAAGCTTGCGCTGACGCTAAGCCTTTCCCAGCTTGATATTAGCCACAGGTAGTAGCCACCAGGCTTCCAGATGTTGTCTCATACGAATTGCTCCGTGTATTGTCTTTTGAAACCTCTCCCCATCCGGGTGTGGCAGAAACAGATTAGCAGATTGGGACGCAATGCGACATTTCTTTGCTTCATATCCCTGACAGGCTTGCTTTAGTTCAGAGAACTCGCCGAGCTGTGCTGATGCTGTGGTCGAAGTCTTGTGTTTAGGTGAGAAATATAACATACCATACTCTGATGTTACCAATAGACCCCAAGCTCGTCCATGTAAGCGCTGATTGTAGTTGTACTGAAGTACAAAAACAGCGTATGCTCGACTCCGCAAAGCACGAATGCTCTGAAGCTGAAGAATTTAATAAAACAGCCAAGACGTATTATGCAGAGCCAAGTCCGACCATATGCGTCGTATAAGGATCAAGTTTGCCTCTTTTTCAGAAAGGTAGCAAGTCCTTTGCGACTCTGGCTAAAGCTATAATAAACTTTAATCGTCCTTCTTTACTACCTCTCAGAGGCAATAGAAGAGGAAGGCGAAGCACTTGCAATGTCTTTGGACATTTCTAAAGCTTCATTCTTATGGACTTTCCAATGACCTTTGCAATTGGAACTCGGATTTTTTAGTGAGCGTTCGATTCGATCTTACTACATTACATTGGATGATAGAGTGCGGCAGGGTTCCGTACTGTCCGCAACTCTCTTACTACCGCATATCAACGACATGTTAATTCCAGGTACCTTCAGGTATACTGATTATAGCACAGTTGTAGATAGGTACTTCATTAATGCAAGGGTCAGTGGAAATCAAATCCACTCTTGTCGAGAGTCTATGATTAGTCGTTTGGACTTACCTAATAATGGCACATTTACATCGGGTCGTCTGCTGAATCGGCATACTACTTCGCCTTGCCGAAGGCTAAGCAGTCAACTCGCCGTTTATACCGAATCGTTTGCCGCCTGCGTTTTTTTTTAATAAGTATAAGGACAGCATTTTTTGATTCCCATTTTTTGTACAATTTTAGTGAAACGTTCCACAAAACTTCGTTGCCTCTGCACGAGTCAACCAGCGAAAGCATATTTCTCTATCTCTGAGATTTCGCTCGGTTATTACATTAAGTATAAATATAGGTAAATAATTTTGTTTACGCACACGATTTGTGTTCGAATCGCAATAGTAGATATAGAATAGATAATCCCAGTCCCCGTACTACAAATGTCAATTAAGCAATTCCCCAAAAATCTAGGTCAATGTATTTTTTTATCTATTTCTCTGGCACAACAAAATCCCCAAAGAGTGGACAAAGTCTTTTTTAACCAAAAATTCCCGACATAATTGTTTCGGAAAAAAGTTATTCATTTATTAATTTATTTTTCATCGGTCATTGTTTTTGCCACATCTTCGCAAATGGCAATGCATACAATAAACAAATAACTATTTCTAAGTCAGGGAACACATCGCACACTTGTATAGTGTTTCAATACAAACGAGTGATGCGATGTTTAAAAAAAATACGTTAATAATGTTCATTGTGATTTTTTTTATCAACAGCTATCAAAGTATCGATGTAAAAATCCCGCATAATAATAATACTTGCCGCCCTCGCCTGGCAAGCGATAGTCATTTGACGACTCGGTGTCAATGAGTCTTAATAAGTTCGTCACCTCCCTGCAAATCCCGCTACCCTCTTAAACATTTTAACGATCTCAAATTGTTTTTGTAAGTATTTTTTATTCAATGTGCCAAAAGAAATTAAACAACATTTTCAATAATTTTGTAACAACGCGAGTCTTGTCACAAACATTTTTTTAAATTTTGGTTCTTGTCTTGCTTAAGATGCAAAAACGGTATTATTCTGCACCGTTTTAAAAAACTCATGGATATGTCTGAGGCACCATCTAAGATTCAAAACATCTTAAATGCAGTAAAATATATATGCGTAGGCAATTATTTACATGTAGTTAATAAAATTATATCATCAAACTTCACACTTTTTGGTCAAGTTATTTCTATGATAATTGTCTATGGTAATGTATGAGGCACTCAATAGATTGACACGGAAAAGCTAAGGTCAAATTATTATACGGATTAGGAATAATAAATAATGTTACGAATGTTATCAGTATAATGTTTGATGAGTTTTTAAATCTTTTTCTTAGTTATATTGATGAAGGGAAACCAAATAATACTATTACAGTAATCACATCCCCTTTTGAAATTGAATAAGTGTGAGTGTATTTAGTTCGAAAAACAATTTGGATAAAACTTTCAAAATAGTAGATTAGTGTAGGGTCATGGAAAAATTTCCACTTTGAATAAATCAAAACTATCTGCACACGCGCAAATGTGTGCGTGAAGTGGCAGGGTACTCATCACTTTCCCGTAGGTGGTGTGCAGGTCGATTCAGAACCTTACGATAATTCTATTGTCGACCGATTCGATTAGATATCGTACGATTTCTTTTAATTTTTATTCACAATAACCGAATCAAACGTCAAACTGTTAATTATTGGAGATCTGTCACACAGGTTAGTTCCTAGTATAGACTCCAGTCTCTTGCAAAGGTACTCTATTATTTAACCATGTTCATGTAAATTACATTATAACGTAATAAAACTTTGTACCCTTTGTACGAGTAAAATAAAGATTATTATTATTATTATAAATATATTTTTCGAAACCGAACCGAAATGACGTCATACCCAAACGATTACTCGTACTTCTCGACCGGCAAAAGCTGCAAACTTATTCTGAACAGTTATCGAATGAAAGTTACCGAGCGTCCTAGTGTTTACAAAGCAAGAATGTTATATGGAAATCTTTTATTAATTGAACTAAAATCTGGATTTTGTTCAATTTTATTAATTTATTTTAATGCGAGACTAATGCATTCCTATATTTTAGGCCTTTAAAGCTCGAATGTTTCGAATAGCTCGGAAAGCATCCTTCGATTCGAGAACGATATCCAATCGAACGATTCGGTTAAGAATGGAAGAGTTCTGAATTGGGGTCCAGGGGGTCTACTCTCGATCTCCGTCAGACATCCGTCAGAAACAATTACTACCAAATTAGCAATACTTGACCAAATGAAAAGACGCGTGATGCGAATGAAGCTTCATACTGGATACTTGTCTTTTAATTTTGTCTAATATTACTTATTTGACAGTAAATGTTTCGGACGGATGTCGGATGGAGATCGAAAGTAGACCCCCAGAGCAACATAGCAAAAATTCTAACGTGGATCTATTATCTATAATCTATTAAAAGAATCCTTCTTTACACACGTTCGTTAGGTATTTATATCAATATAATATTGAATTTTTCATTCATTCACTAGCTAGAATTGTCCTGAAGGGATATTTAAAAAAAAATTACAAGCACCTTTAAACAAGTGACAAGTACTTTTAACACAGTATTTAACAAGGTATTTGAAATTGCGTGTCCAACTTTATCATTACTTAGTTAATAATTGTATTCACTACGTCATATTTATCGGCAATATGAATAAAAAAATACATCTCATTATATTGATATAATAAGTCTGTATTATATATTACACTGCACTAAATAAATGAAGAAAACAGTAAATGAATGAGTCTGAGACATGAGTTGAGACAAGACATTATAAACAGCTGTGCAGAGCACAACTCACGACCACTATAAATAGAAATATACAATGATGTCAAGTGTTAACGTACAAGATTCCTAATGAATAAATGAGAACTATATTCACACGACGCGAAAACGGCTCGCCGACAGCCTTGTAGCCGTTCAGTCAAAGTGACCAACAATGTGCGGGGCGTCGTGCGATATTTAAAGCTAGGAAGGGGCGGAGTGTGTCCATTTCTTTTCTCTGATGTGATTATTAGAAGATTTTTCGCTGTTGTAAAATCATTTTAAATCTTGTGTTTCTTTTATCTGGCTTTTATTTATATAAGTTTATTTTATAATTCACGCTAAATAAAACTCTAGAACATATTTCTAAACGTAGAACAAAAAATATGAGCGTTCGAAATTATATATTTTCAGTTTTTCGGGAATTTTTCGGGAAAAGTATACACCATTTGAAATTTTTCGGAAAATCACCCAACAGTACAAATGATACAATCTGTTAATTACGAATCTTGGAAACGATATTTTGAACTTTTTCTTGACACGTGTCAGAACATCGTTCAAAGAATTACTTTCAGCACTATAGGTAACGCTTACGGCTTGTCTATAAATTTTGTTTTGTAATGTTGGTGTTTTTGTGGAATGAAGTGAGCGACGAGGTGGCGCAACGAGCGAGTGGTGCCTTCGTCATCGTGTACAGATTTCTATTCACGTTACAAAATTTATGATTGCAGTGTGGGGTGCTAAAATTATGTTGATTTTGAAGTGAATAACAGTATTGGTGATGTTGACCTTAGGCTTATTGTTATTTCGCAAAAAAACTCTAAAAGAACACACGTTTACCGTAGTAGTCCGTCAAAAATCAAGAAAGCTTCAAACGTGTTTGAAGCTTTCGGTTTCGCATTAATGGAACTATGAACCTGGACCCTTTAACGTTTAGCTTATCGCAAATCAATTATCTCGTTGTAAATTTAAGTAAGAAGAACTTCAAGCAGACAAGTCAAGAGTTATCCCAGGTAAGGATTATTGCTCAATTTACCGTTGTCTTTGTTTTCTAATGTCGCCATATTGTGAACTGCGAAAAGCCACGAACTGATTTGGTAATCATTACCAAGTCATTTTATCTATCGTGTATTGCTATATTTACTATCGCTAATGTACTGTGCGCTATTTCTTGCCAAAGCAATCGTCACATTTGTGTAACACGTCCATATGACGTTTGATGAAATGATGTACCACACTGTATACAAGTGCGAAGTAGCGATCACACCAATTTCTGTGTCTATCATCAAACGATTTTACAATACATACAGGCTGCTTTGTTATGTACTTATATACAATGTGCTTATATACAATGTTTTGGTTCCGTGTCAGTTACATTCAGGCGTACATGCCGCGTCGCTTCATCGCGTACTTCTGTTGGTGACATTCTAGATTGGTAAGATATATATACAAAATGTCGCGCAGATGCTTCTATAACCACCTTAATACTGGAGACTATTAGATCATGGTTGTTGTTAGAAGTCACTGCTTGACTTGTGCGCTGGGTTGTAATTTGAGTTTTGATGAAGGAAGTTGTTTTAAAGTAAGGTGTATCTTTGTTTAAAATCCATGATGAGTGGATATAACATTACACTTTAAACGGTATTTTGTGGTTGTCTGATTTCGCACCCCTCGATATGAAAATTCTGAGTCTATCATGAGTTAAGTGCCTAAATCCACTTTACTTACGCACTTCTTGTAGTAAGCCACAGATGTTATTATTATCAAGCCTTTTAAGTCGAATTACAAATTTTGCATTACAATTTTGTTACATTGAAATTATATTATACAGGTTGACCCAGAAGTAATGGTCAGTGGGGTTGAGTACTCTCAATCAATTTAACTACATTGGGGTCCAGAAAGTGATGGTTCTAAAGTTATTCAACATTTTGAGTTTTTTTAAGATCACTAAGTGCTTCACAGGACATGAAACTATTTTTCCGGTTTTGTTCCGGGTACCTTTACAGTTCCCATGATCACCGTGACCATGGGAACTGTAAAGGCCTGAAATATTGGTAAATCTGGACAAATAGTTTCATTTCCTATGTGTAACAATTGCGAAAACCTAAGATCACTAAGTGCATCCCTAACAAAAATCACAAATAATTACCTACAAGGTCTTTTGAAGTGATTTTTTTTTGCGTTATTTTTCTGAGATTTGCATCTTTTAATAGAACTCTTTTCATATAATGAGCAGGGAAATGTCAATTGTTAAAAGCCATTTAGTGAACAATTTTCTGTTCACAAACAACTAAACTTTTTTCAAGAGTAACTCACCAACATAAAATGTACTATGGAAAGATGCCATTGTAATAGAAAAACTAGTGTATTTTATGTCGAATCTAGGGATAAAATTACTAAAGCAATGTCGACACAATGGTTTTGGTTGATCGGTTCAAAGCGGCAATAAGGGTTATTGTATATTTTTGTATATTACTTTTTGAACGTACTAACTTGGTACTTGGTGCAACGGACTGGTATCCGCAACTCGGCGACAAAGCGCCTATTTTGCGTGTGGTGGGTGCAGGGTCCTACTCGTGCCACCCAAGCTCCTCCAGGAATCTCAGCAGCCTCCTTGGTTTGCTGAAGACTTCAGGGAGCGACCTTGGCTTTGAACGTACTTACAAAAAGAACCTTCTGGTTTTTTGTTTACTGTTTGAAATTCCTCCATCCATCTTAAAGTTCAAATTTTTTTTTATATATTCCTGTGACAAGGAATTATTTTTAATCCTCATTTCGTTTTGACCATCAATTATGGGCCACCCAGTATCTCTTAACCAAGCGTGCCTATTGTCACAGGCCTTGTTCAGATATTAAGTGAGCTCTATCAAAAGTTAGTCTTTTCCAGTACATGCAATACAATGTTTTTTCATCTTTAATTTGGGTCATAATTATTATTAAGCCTTTTAAGCTAGAGTTACAAGTACTTTTTTCATTACAGTTTTATATAACATTTAAAATTTTTAGATTATATGTCTTAACTCAGCGTCACATATATCTTCCTTAGCCAGCAGATTAAGCTCTGCTGCATACGCAGTTCATAGAATAAGTGAGCTTCCCGATGTTGCTACTGCTAGACTAGTTTACTTTTGTTACTTCCATAGTATAATGTTCTACGGGATTCTCATGTGAGGTAAAGCGGCAGATATACAAACCAAGTTTGTGTTGCAAGTACGAGCAATTCGTTCTGTGTACCGTTTAGGTTCTCGGGTTTCTTTTGGAGAAAAGTTTAAGGAGACTGGTATCATGACTGTGGCATCACAGTACATTTACTCAAATATTTTGTATGCCCGTAAAAATATACATAATTTCATTATGAAAGAAGATATCCATAATATTAACCTTAGAATTGAGTGCGAACTCATGGTACCACAATTTCATTTAACTAAGGTAAACAATTCTTTTATGAGGAACTGTATATGTTTTTACAATAAGATTCATTTAATATATTGAGATTATCATTTCCTAAGTTTAAAACTTACATTGAAAGTATTTTAATTGAAAAGTCATATCGAGTTCTTAGGTTTTCGCGATTGTTACACATAGGAAATGAAACTATTTTTCCGGATTTAAATCGCGTATATTTGTTTTTTCAAACAAACCGACGTTTGAAAGTCATGTTTCAAAATTGAACAGTATGTTTTAGATAAAGAGGTATGGAGAGACAACGAGAGTCTAGATTCCACACAATTATGATTCAAAGTGTATTCCATAGCATTTAAGTTTATCTCTTCTCTTGGTCTACCTTTGAAAGCATGTCCATTAATTTCATTCATGTCACTTTCACAGACATACATTAGAAAACAAGGCTATTACATAGAACAAATGTTGTGAGTTTACCTAGTTATTTTTCCAATTGTAGGCATTGTATTCCAATTTAATAGTTCAACTGTACAATGTTTTCCAGCATAAGTGAAATGGCATGACAAATGATTTCTTATGATAGGTGTGCAGCCTGTCATGGTACATAAAGAAATGAACAAGATTTGTTTTAATTTTGTTTCATATCTTTATCTTTATTTGTTTTATTATTCTTTTACACATTATAGATATTACAACATTTTGCTTATTTTGTTATAACTCTACAAGATTCTGTCAAGTGGTATATTAACAAATTTGCTCACAAAGTACAATTTTACATATTATTACTGATCAAGTATGAATTTTGCTTAACAAATTTTGTTGGGAAATCTGCTTCATTTATGGCAAATGTTAGTTACAAATTTCCATATTTGTACCTTTGTCATACAAAACTGATAAGAGGTCAGCTTTAGGTACATTGTTAAGAAAAATTGTACATCAAGTAGTGAAAAAAGTTCAAATTACCCATTTTTATTAAGGAAAAAAAATTTTTTTTTACTATTTGGTAACAATTACTTATTAAACATGAATTTAAAACCAGGAATTGTGTATCCCTCCTGAATTATTAATATGATCAAAAATAAGTTAAATTCCTTGTTAACTTCCCTGACATGTCAGTTATTACAAATTTGTGAAATATAATTGTCATCATCATCAATCGTTGTACGGTTTATAAATTGTATTATTTTTTTTTTACAAGTTTTATTTAACGTTCTTTATACAAATGATAGTTAACGTCTGTTTGACAAATTGATTGGATTGCAAGCTTCTGTTATTTATGTGTGACTGGGAGTTTTTCATATTATAGGTGTGTTGCCTATTGCAATAATCCCATTTCCCAGAAGCTTAAGAGTCCCCAAGTGTTTTACAGGATCTGGAAGGGATCTTGAATTGTCTGAGATGCTTCCCTGCGTCTCCTTACTTACTTACCATACTCTTACAATCCAATTAGGCTGAGAGAATATTGCTTGTTACTCCGTGTATCCTGTTGGCGACTCTTGAGGTCTTGGATCTTTCTTGATAATTTTTGATTACGTTACAATAAATTCCTCTTCTTAGGCATTTTTCGTTTCGTCTCTTCCTGCCATCCATAAACAGTTATCCATGTATCTAGTCATCTGCCTATATATTAGCCCTGGCTTATATTAGAACATTCTAGCATCATCTACATATTTACACAGAGATATCAACAGTTATCAACATCATTCAACAATTATTGTTATCTGACAGTAAATACACATATCAAAAGTATCTTGGGACCAAGCACGTTTTTGCCTATTACTGAAAATCAAGTGTTTTAAATCGTTTTTTTTAAACACCAATAGGTTGTTATTGGTAAATTTTATCAAAAACAAAGAACAAGTTATTCTATAGGTAAATGTAAATTTACACTTGAAAACGTCACATTTGAGCTACTGCTCATTCACTACTCTGACTCCCCTGAGAAGTATGAGCAATAAACTCTAGGGATTGCTCTTTTCAAATAAACTGAAATGCTATGGAATACACTTTGAATCAAATTTGTGTGGAGTCTAGAGCCAAGTCGTCTTTCCACACATCTTTATCTAACACATAAGTCTTCAATTTTGTAATATGACTTTTCAATCAAAATATTTGCAATGTAGTTTTTAAACTTAGGAAATGTTAATCTTGTACATGCACCGGAATCTTATTGTAAAAAAATTATACATTTCCCCATAAAAGAGTTATTTACCTTGGTTAAACGAAATCGTATTACCATTAGTTTGGACTTAGCTCTAAGATTAATATTACGGATATCTTCTTTCTTATTGAAATTTTCTATATTTGATTGACCAAAAAAAATTCATTAAAAAACCTTCTTTTTAGAGTTCCTCTTCGATCCACCTTTGTCTTTGCCTATGCCTTTTCAATCCTGAAGGTTCGCCGTCAGCCTTCTGTATTTATCTCTAACAGCCAATCGGAACCGCTGTTCGACGGCAATGCCGGTCGCTCCCGGATGTCCCGTAGGCACGATTTCTTTCCACGCCCAGCGCGTCTCTTTCCCTACTCTTTGTCCATCATTATCAGCTGTAGCTGCGTGTATTTATCGTTCTGATCACGTGACCAAGACATTCATGATTTTCCGGGACGT